TTTTCCCCATTTCACAGAATGATTCCATCCCTCAAGACGACTTCACGCCAGACGTGTACAGGGTGTTCTTAAACAACCTTTGCCCTCGGCCTGAAATCGACCACATCTTTTCTGAGTTGTAAGAAAAGACGTTCTTTTTTTTGTTGTTGTTTCTTTTCCCTTTCACTGATTTTCTGGGCTGGGGATGGCAAAGTAGGTTATTTAGACTACAGCAGCATGCAGCAATTGCCAAGAACAGATTTCAATGTCAAGCAGGGCTGTTATTTAACCTTGGATCAAGGGTTCTTTCTCTCCCAAGCTTTTGCCTCCATTTCTAATGGCTAGAGTTTTAAAGTAATTTGTTCCTAGAGGAGCACAACTGCCGGGTCTTGTTTTTCTTCATGGATTAGGATAGCTTAGGCTTCCATGAAAGTAAAGGAAGAAGAGTAATAAGCAATAACAGCATGCAATAGGCATGATAATATGTATAATCACCCCCAAAAGCTTAATTAGGAGTTGCAAAAAATGCAGTAACTTTTAGGATTTGTGCATTGTGAATTCACACCGTGAGATTAAATTAGCAACCAGCTACGACTGATTCCATACATTCAGTTACAAGCTATATAACTCGTCTTGCTTCTACCCCTTGCAGCAAGTCATTGTCCTTCCCAGTTTCAGCAGAACCTCATCAATGGAGTCGGAACATGAAGCGATAGGCAAGCAAAGTAATTTCCAAAATACATCCCAAGACCACCAAAGCAATTAATGAACATATCTTTGCAACATGGGTGTGCTCACGTACTCCTTCTGTGCCTGTTTTCTCTGAGGTTTCAGAGGAACGCAGCCTTGGCCTGGTTTGCTCCCGTTGAACCCAGGGCTAGGCTCCCTCTGACTCTCTCGCAGAGTAGAAGCAGGCCAGTCCCCGGTGCTGTAGACAACGCTGGGCACATCACCTGGCTTGGAGGCTTCCTGCATCTCCATCTGGGTACAAATTGTACCCAAACTCTGCTCTTTTCACTAACTCTCTAAATAGGCATCTTTTTGCGTGCTTTGCAGAGTCCCTAGCATGTTTTAGCAGGTTTATAAAAAAAAAAACCACACACAACAAAACACCAAACAAATACTAAAATAATGAAATCAGGGCTGCTGTTATTCAGCAGTAAAACCGAATCGTTGGGCACGGAGGGGTTGTGTCAAGCTCAGGATTGAATTCCATGTTGTTTTCTCTTTTTACTTTTTTAAATTGCTTAGTTCCAGGAATTCAGAGGAATGAAAAGCTTTTAGCGTTGCTCCAACTCTTCCCATTGATGTCAATAATGCTGAACACTTTTAAAAATCTTACTCCTAGATGTTTAATGAAGAACGTCTGGCGTTACATGCTGGCAAAGTAAATTAGTCCAGAGACACAGTGGGACAATGTTTTTGTTGTACAATAGCTTGAAACTTGTTTTGGTTTCCTGGGAGGTTACAGAATGTTGAACAAGATTTCAAGGAAATGTATTTTAATGGCTTTGCTGTTGCTTTAATTTTTTCTCTAGTGGTGCCAAGAGCAAACCATACCTTACTGTTGATCAGATGATGGAATTTATAAATTTTAAGCAACGTGATCCACGATTAAATGAAATCCTTTATCCACCATTAAAACAAGAACAAGTCCAGCAGCTGATTGAGAAGTATGAACCCAACAGTAATCTAGCAAAGAAAGGTCAGTGGTTTTTATATTCTCACTGTACTCTGTTTCTGATTTGAAACAATGACTCAATTATCCTACAGTGCATGCTAAAGCAAAATTTGGTTCAGAATCAAATTGCATTTCCAGCTATCTGCTTTTGGATTGTACAAGCTGATGAGACGTCGTGTGGTGCATTTTTAAATGTATTTGGTTGGGATCAATTCAGGAATGATGGGGCTGGTTTCAGTATTTACTTTTCAGTATGTGTAATTGATAGTTTAGAACAGGTGCTCTGGTATGCAAACTTCAGCAGAAACCATACTGTCGTGACAACTGTATATCAGCATCTGAAATGTAAAATTTAAAGAAAAAAATCAGTGACAATGAAACTAAGATGGTAATTCTGTCATTTAATAACAGTAATAAGTCCAGGCCTCTGCTTTCTGACAGTGGTATGCAAAGTAAGATGTGAGAGCAGCTGAGGGTGTTCTGTGCTGTAATCACAGAAAATTCCCTTTTGAAAATCTCGAGCGTTGTCAGGGCTTAACTGGGTGTTTCGCCAAAACCAGTGAGAGAACTTCTGCTCAAATCTCTGCAGATTTTTACTACCATCACAAGTCTTAAAATAGCATTGAATTTGTGTCTGCGTCCTGTTTTATTCCAGTCCACATATCCTAACAATTACCCCAGCTTTTAGTATGTTTATACCTTAGAAATTTTAGGGGCATGGGAATATCGTGAAAAACAGATTTAATATGGAAAAACTGTTTTGGTCCAGAGATTTCAGATCCAGAGGGAACACAGTGACATCTTTCCCAAAAGTCTAGAGGTGAGCTGAAGGCACTCCCACCCCTCTCCCTGGAAGCCTTCTGACCTAGATGTCTTCCTGAAGGAAACCTGTGGCTCTCGTTGCCGCAACCAACGTTGCCTCAGGGCAAAACACTTCTTCTTTTTCTCATAAGGCTTCTTATTTTTCTAGTCCAAGCAAATTTAGTGTTTCCAGAGGTTTTGATGGAGGGGTAAATCCTGCTGCTTTGTCATGCTTACGCAAACTGTGTTTTGACATCAGTGAGAGTACTATCATGAGTAGGTGAAGACACATTGTGACCTCCTCTCTTATCCATACAAATATTAGAATATTGCTCTGTGCTTACCTTATTTCACATCAGCGGCAGGAAATTCTGGTACTTAAAAGATCGTTCTTATTACCCAAATATTGGCACTTCATATAAACTAAACAAAGGATTTATTAGAAGGAGATGTGCTGATGTGCTAGCAGAACACCAAAGTCAAAATGAAATCACCTTCTGACTAACAATAAGGAGGAAACATGAAACAAACCTCAGAAAGAAGGGTGTTGTGATGATGTTTGCTGACACCCTCCAAGTAGGATTTGTGGGACACCTCCAGCTTACCCTAATTTATGTTGGTGCACACATGTGCTGCAGGCACTTGCTCTTCCATAGATGCCTCTCTTCCTGGGTATGATTTGTATTGTTCTTACAGAATCAGTTCTCACAGAAAATGCTGACTGTAACAAGGAAAAGGCAGATCATAGAGAGTTAATTCCTTTTGTCGTTGAGGGTTTTTTTGTTGTTGGGGTTTTTTTGTTTGTGTTTTTTTTTTCCCCTCTTCAAACTTGTGTACTGAGGTCCAGCAAACTGATGGAGCTGGCACAACCTGCGGGCCACTTCTGTGCTGCAGACACCACCTCTTACATGGCACCGTCTGGCAGCTGAGCTGCAGCAACTGGCACATGCTTCTAACTATGCTCCAGTGCAAATCCCCAGCTTTTACTGCCTTAAAATTACAGGAATTGGCTGATCAGGAATGACATGGGGGCACAATATTTTCTGTACGTCTGCTCCGAGTTGGGAATGCAAGTCACTGTATGTTAAATAAAGTGTAGGTGTGCGCTCAATCCTACACTCATAGAATAATTGCAAACAAATGCTGCATGTCTGTAAAATGTCACCAAAATACAACAGTGCATATTCATAATAATGATTTAACCTTTTAATACGGTGTTTTGTAAAAGGGCTTGTCACTCAGGCTTTCTGCTGTTGGAAAGGACTGTTTGTAGCTTGAATTGCAGGGATGGCAGGCCTAAGTGACACACTTCAGTGATGCTTTCCCTGCCACTGAAACTATACTTACTTGGGCCATTGAGTGGAGATGTCGTTTTCGGTAGACCTGTGGATGTTCAGACCAGTTAGATGTGGTCCACTGTTACACACCCACAAACTTGTTGGCCTTCACTTCCCACCTCCACTGCTCGGATACCCTGCGATGTTTCTTGCGGTGGCATTGCTTATGTCCCCTTACTTGCCCGGGGCCAAAATCAGTTGAGAGGTAGGGATGGAAGCAGGATGTTTGGAATGGCCCCTGTCCCATCAGTAAGAGCAGGTAGAAACCTTAGGGCACCCAGACCAGCAGCTTCAGTAGGTAAGAAGGTAGCAGAAGCCTTCATCCAGCATAGTTCTCAAAGAAAACGGGGCCCAACAGCTCCATGAAGAGAGATGGGCTTAGGATTGTTGTCCACATGCTCCTTTATGCTCCTGCATTTCCAAGTGAGCTGGAAGAGGCCCCAACTAAATAGCTCCTTGGGACCAATGGGGTACACCAAAAACCAGAAGAGCAGTGCAGGGAAGAGAGGAGTAGTGTAACAAGGCACATGAGGCAGAGGTGATGACGTGAGAGAATGATGTGATAAACAGCAGGATGGGAAACAGAGTTCTAGGTGGCGTAAGGATGACTTCATCGCTGTTGTACCAGAGCAATGCAGCTAAATAATTGGACTTTTGGAGCAGTTTTGAGGAGGTTTGATTCAAGAAGCGAGCCAGAAGCTCTGACAACATGGTATATGTATTTGTTCTTTCTTGGCAATGAGAAGTTACTTCTTTGAAGTAAATCAGAACTACAGGTCCAGAACAGAAGAAAATAACCATGAAGAAATATAAAAGTTATGATTAACTGCTTCTTGTGATTAATGAGTGATTTGAAGCACTTTGTGGTGGTAAAGACTTTGAAGGCTTGTTTGCAAGAATTAGGTGATATAAATGACCAGCCTTTGTGCCAGTTAAATCCCTTTTCCTCAGATTGTTCTAGAGTTTGAACATGTGCTGCTGCTCAGTGTGTGTGTGCCCAGGCACGTGCCACACACACGTATATTGTTTTGTTTCCATAAGCTGCCCTTCTGACCAGCTCCGTTCGTTGTCTTGTTTCGTTATTAACATCAGATTGCAGAGAGGTTAGGGACAAACATAAGTGGTGAAGGTCTGTCCACTTTCATGTTTGTTTCTGTAGTATTTCTAAGTTTAATTATTTAAACAATCAATCTGATGTTCAGATATCCCACTGAAATAAAGGAAGGCATGTTCAGCATCCTCATGAAATAAACCAAGCTCTTCTGTTTAATTTGAACTTTAAAGCCTGTATGGTCCTTGTTCAAAGTGCCAGAGAAGATTACTTTTGCAAAAGCCTGAAACAAAGTGAGTGACAAATGTCCTTATTTTTCAGGTGTTCTATAAGACCACAAGGCCTAGATTTCTAATCACCTTTCACAAACTTATACAAAATATATATCGTCTTTTTTTCTTCTTTTTTCCTGTGCACAGTAGCACATGTGTCAAGATTCAAAATTAAACTGAATACTTGCAATTCACAAGGATTAAAAGCATTTGCTAAAAGCATTTATGCTTCGAGAGTAAGATTTCATGTTTGCAACATGCAGAACGTCCTGGCCTTGATGTAATAAATCACTTAAGCATATGCTTAAGTTTATGGGTGATGTGGGAAGAGAGTATGGTTATATAAAAATCGCTTATGCTTCATTTCCTTGAACATTATATTAATTAGCTATTGAAGCTCAGTTCCCAAGGTTGTTCAAGTGAAATTTCTGGGCGGTTCTGGCCAGGACCATGTACACAGGTGCCTGGGCAACTTCTGAGAGTGTGATGCACGTGCTTCTTAGCAAATAAAATTTTATGCATTGAAAAGTTCTTTTAAATAGAATTAGGCATTTTTTCCTTGAAAACTTAAATCCAAATTCATAAAATAGAAACTATGTGCCTTTATACAGTAGCCTGACCCCTTGCTCCCACTACCCTGTTTGGACAGTTCTAGACCTTCACTCATCTGATGATTGTGTCTTCTCCTAATTTCCATCTAACTGTGTTCATTATCTGTGCACATCCACTGTACAGCAATTCTTTTAGTTCTTCTTCTCTCATAACTAATTAAATTCATTTCTAAAGAATCGTTGCACTCTCAACTTTCACAGAACTAGTCAAATGCTTTTGACATCTCTTATTTCTCCACTTCTCTGGTCACCATTATAGCTCTTTTTTTTCCTACCTGTTGCAACTAAACTACAGTATTTTGAACACAGTAACCAAGAAGCATCATTATATTTTAAACTTTTACAACATGGCTCTTCAGGCACCTGGCAAAATCAAATGGCAATGTTCTTACTGGATAAGAGCCTTAGGTTGCAGAGTTTTGAGTAAAAAGACTACCTGCGTTCCTGCTCGTCACCGATGTATTTTTAGGTATTGTATTGCCGGGATGCGATTGAGCTTTTGCAACATCAGCAGATACGTGGGCTTGACATCTACATAGGTTAAGCATCTGGCGTTGTGTTTTATTGTGGTTGAAGCGAGCTGTTGTGATTAATGCTTTGTGTCAGACAGTGAAGGAGATTAATGCACTGTGTATAGCATGTTTCCTTATCAGGTGGAAGCAGAAGGAAGTTCCCGGTGCTGCTGAGCGGTCTCGCTGTCAGCAAAAGCGTACTGGGGGGCCGTTAGGTCTGGTTAAGTAGCATCTTGTAGTTTGGTATTGTCAGGCTGTAAAGCGTTTGCATTGGGTGGCTGCCGTAACTGCTAAATGTATTGCCTTTCACGTTACCGCGTTGATAATGGGATGCATGTCAATAAAGCGATTACAAGGGGTTGATTTGGAATTTCTTTATTTGCTTTTGTTTTTAAGAAGGCTTGTGTAAAAGTAAGTTGTTCAGGATCTTGTTACATTAT